ACGTCCAACTCTTGTATGCTCACAAATGGCTTAGGTTGAAGAGAAATGGACGAAAGATGAGATAAATTGAAAATTGTAGATGTGAAGATTTTGGAAATTTGTATAAATGTTGAAACGTGGGAGATCTGATTTGACAATAGCAATAATTGTGGATGCATTAGGTTGAGAAGCTTGATTCTACGTAAATTCTATTAGTTTGTGGATTAAGTGCGTAATTACTTAAACAAAATACTAATTAGCAAAAAAAAATACAGTTACCAGTAAGTTTTGGTTGGAGTATTCTTTAGGAATCTCACATGCCACCATTATAAATTATTCCAAAAAGATGAACTGGTGTTGGTCCCCAAAAATTACCACAAACGCAAAATATAACTAAGTAAATGACAACGTCAAGATTTTAAGTCCAAGGGATCGGATGTTCAACAAAAGATCTACTCACCATGTCGAGCGTCCACGGATGTGGTTAACGTTCTAAATCAACAACACAACCATAATTTTAAAGATTACAACATAACACACCAAGTATCTAAATTAAGAAGCCCTCGATTACAAATTCTCTCTCAATCTCTCGTCTAACCAAAATTACACCAAGTAACCAGGTTACTGTTCATGAAGAATGGTATATAAACCTTCACACTATTTATTTACATCAACATTATACAAAAATGAGAAATTCAGATAGAAGAGAAAGCACAAAAAAACCAGATAGAAAAACGGCTTAAATAAAGGTCACGTCAATTAACCATAGTCATCAACGGTTATAGTTTTGCCATTTGTCATTATTTTACCAAATTCCAAAATCGAACAAACTCACCCAAAACCTTACATATAAAATATCATATTCAAAAATAAGAAAGCTTTTCAAAAAAAAAAAAAAGATTAATTTCACAAATCAGGTGATAATGAAAATTTATTAAATTAATGAATATATGATTAATATGGAAATTGTTTTGTGTTTATCTAATGAGATCTATGTAAAATTATTTCCATAACAATTACTCCCACTCATTCTCCCTTCAAGCACCATTACCATCACATATTTACAAATGTACAAATGAAATTCTCTCTCAACATTTACAAATGAAAACTCTCTCTATCATTTATCTCTCTATAATTCTTCAATCGCTCAATAGATTGATGTCATGGTCATCGATGTTGTTGGTGATTATTGGAGGGGGAGGTGGTTGTGGATTGTGGTGCAGGTGGCGGCGGTTGGTGATGGTAGTGGAGCAGTGCAGGTGCAAGTGGTGAGAGTTCCTTGTTCAATCTATCAACTAGCTTGCTATTTTGGATTACAGCGGTGATAGGTTGTGGTGTTAGTATACGGTGTGTGCGAATATTTAATTTCTTTCCACTAGCACCATAAAAACGCTCCGTGATTTTTTCAAAATATTTCAAGATATTACAGTGTAATATCTTCTCTAATACAATTTTGATCTGTACCAGAATCAATTAAAACTCTAGTATGAATCTTAAAATCTTTATTGATAATAATGTCCATTTTACAATACCACTTTTGAAGTTGAATATGGCTACTAACATTAACTTTTTCCTTTTCTGTTTGAGGAATTTTTGAAGATTGAGAGGCAATTTCATCTTGTTCAGAAGACTCAGATTCATAAATGGTTTGATTTTCTTGTTAAGTTTTTAAGAGAAATACTTCCATTTTTACATCTTTCATTTGATTTTGAAGCAAGGAAATTTGAGATTTCATCTCATTTACTTCTAATCTTAAATTAGAACTGGATGATTTAGAAAATTTTGAAGATTCAAATTTAAATCTATTCATAATATTCTTAGGATCATCAAAGTCACATAATTTTGAAGGAATAAGAGATTTCAACTTTTTCTTTAGTTGAGGATTTTGAATTTTCTCAATTATTTCTTGAATAACTTCTTCTTGAGTAAGAACATTTATGGTTTTACAACCAAAATTTTTTTAGATTGATATGAAGAGGATGAACTAGAATATATATCAACATCAGAACTTTCTTGATG